TTTGGATGAACTACGAGCCATTTGAAAAATTTTCAGAGTGCGTGAGTTTTAAAACCCAGTACAAGCGCCTCAGGTTATACACAGTCATTAACCCAACCAATTTCCTTTTAAGAGGTTATCGATAATGTATATCTCTAGTCATTACACAATTTAAGAAAATCATCTTTATCAGTAGACAGTAAAAAAGGACTTACTCAGTTAATTTCTAAAGTATATCAGTTCTTATTTACTCACTAACCGGTGATGGACACGAGACCTGATATGATTCCAGTGACGAAGCAAGGTATGTCCAATTTGTTTTTGTAGACAACGTAACTAAAGAGTACAAACAATTGAAACTAGCCTTACAACCAATCATGCAAGAAAACAGGCAACTGCGAGTATCCTCAATCAAATAAATGAGTGGATAAAACTTAATAAAACATCGTATAAGAATAAAAGTTTTGAAAACGTAGGTATCTCGAACAAATATTTATTCAGTTTTATGGAACATATTTGTTAAAAATCCCTAGGGTTTTTAACAAAACCCATAAAAAAATCCCTGGACCAAAAGTTGACCAAAAAAAATTTACCATGTTGAATTTCCGAACCTTAAAAATCTCCATATAGTATTAAATGATATAACACGAAAATAGAAATTAGCCTACGTAGCAGGCGTCGAAAGAGTTTGGGGATTGGGAGGAAGGGAAAAAGGGAGGCGGATTGGGGAGAGAAAAATTCCGGATTCGAAAATTTCAGATATAAAAGATAATCCTTCGATCATCCCCGTCACTTGAAATCCACAAACCGCCTTCCGCCCCCCTCCCCCCCTTCCCCTTACTCCCCCACTGGGCCTAGACTACGAATAGTCCCTCACTTTCTTCAGGGATAGTTAAGCGAGAAAAAACGCGAGAGCACTTAAAATACGTGCCTTGCTTCCCCTCGCGTGCGCCGATTTTCACGTGCACTGTGACTGGACAGTTTTTCATTGACACTGAATTACTTTGGACCAATTTGAAGCAAAAGGTAATTTAATGATGACACTTTATGATAGGGTCTAGCTATCGAAAATATATAAAATGTCAGCAAGTCCACAGCAACAAACCAATGAGTGGTGCCAGACCTGCCAGTTGTAGACCTGGATCAGTACAATTAACCTTGTAGAAAAATGTGAAACGGCAAACTGATCCTTACGGCAAGGCGATGAAGAAGTAAACAAAAGAATAAAACAAAAAATATATTTAAACAAACTGCCCAATATTTCGGTTTGAAAACAAACCTCCTTCAGGGGCTAAAAGAAAAATGAAAATAAAACTTTTTCTAGCTATCGATCCTGGACATATCTGTGAGCTTTGGGAGGAACTTCCCACGTACCTGTAGGCGGTTCCAACAATTCCACCTCCAATAGCTCCGTTTATCGTCAAGACCGCTGACCTAGTGCAAACAAGTTTTTACGTAAATTGAATTATTTGATATTGCTCTTTCCCCTTCCCTATTCAATACTTGCTCATCACTAAGAGGAAGGTTACCATCAGAAACAAAACTGGTATAAAAAGGAAATAAAGAACGAAAATTCAAATATATATATATTATTAAAAGGATGAAGTAACTAGCTTAACTGGAATAAAATACTACAAAACTCTCTCACTAATCAAGAACTGAAGATATACCAAGAGTGTTCTTTTACATCATTGTATTCTTTTCTTTTTTCTGGTAAAAATGTGTAAAGTTTGGGTTAGCTGACCGCAAGAATGAAAAAGAGGCAAACTCGGTGTGGGTAATGTTTTGGTATAACTGAACCTGCACGGCTGCGATCGGCTAGAAATTTGCGAGCTAAGCATCAATTTCAAGTATGAGAACACTCAAAAGGCCAAAGCAGGAAAACAGCCATGTTGACGAAATCCTGCATGACTGGCCTTGAGCCACTAATAAAGAAACAAACACTAACTAGAAAAAAATAAGGCAGATTTAATTAACCGTTAAGATTGAAATAGTTCAAAATACTTCACAATACGTGTTAGTGCGTATTCTGCAAAATAAAACCACATAAATTATCTCCAGGAAAATGTATATGTAACACACAAAACGTGATAAGTTATACTTTAAGAGACTTGATTTATACGATCCGCGTATTTCGGTTGCTAGAAGAGCAGACGTTTTAACAAGTTCAGGAGAGATCTCGCTGTAGATAGGTAACAGCTGAAGGACTCTAAAACCTCTTGCAAGTGTGATGACCAATAGGTGGAAGTATAATTAAAAAAAGGGCTCTTTATACCGTAAAAAAAAGGTGTGAAGAAGCGGGGAATCAGGGGAAGGGTGAAAATGCCTAGCAAAACATTATGTACCTTAAAATTCGGAAAGTTTTGTGCGGTACTAGAAGAATGAGAAAAGTCTTGAAAATACCTTGAAGCAAGCTTCCATCTCATGCCAGTTATCCCAAATGTACTTCCGCAGTTGAAGCCCAACCATCCCCACCACAGCATGAAAGTCCCTAAGAGCACATTTGTCGGTGAAGCCATTTGTTTTGGAGGAGAAGTCTTGTCGAATCGCCCGCTTCGTGGCTTTAGCATCATCGTCGCCACTAAACCGCTTACTCCGCCAACCAAATGCACAGCACTGCACCCAGCAATGTCCACTGCGCCCATTGTATGGAGAAAACCGTTTTCATCCCAAATCCAATGTGCTGGGAAGCTGTATGTCAGAGTGTTCAGGAATGAGTACAAGATGTAGGCTTTGAGCTTGATTCTTTCCGCCATTGCACCAGAAACAATGGTGGTCGCTGTAGTGGCGAATGAAAGCTGGAAAAAATACTTGGAATACACCTGACCCATTCTGCTTCCCTCTGCGTCTGTTAAGAAATAACCCAATCC